TATATATATATATATATATATATACCTTCCTTTTGAAGAGATGGTCTCTAACAAAATGAACAATAATAAATCCACTATCTTATCTTCTTTATAGTGCTGATTACTGGAATTTGATCTATACATACATACAGTAAATGATCATTAACTCCCCATCAGAAAACTTGTTGTATGTCAATAGCTCTCTCTCGCATTGATTATTTTCATTCAATCTTAAAAGAGCAATAAAGTCATTCTGTTCAAAAGTCCCTAATATTAATGGCGAGTACAAGGAATGCTTTTCAGTTACAAGAGACCGTGTTTATGTCCATAGATGTATAATACAGTTAAAGGGAAAAAGAAACAAAATAAAAGAAATGACCATTTTAACAGAGACTTACAAAAAAAAAAAAAAGGTAAATGATGAGGAAACTGAAAATGACAACAGCAGCTGCAGATGTATGATTGACTTTTTAGGCAGACCTTTGAAGACACTCTTGTAGTAATCAATTCAAGTAAAGATTAACTCATGGATGACTTCCTTTAGCTTTTGCTGGAACTTTAATCCCAGCAAGAGCTAAGGATATGTGAAAGACATTTACTGAAAGGCTTCCGACATATCCTTACCTGAAGTGACACTAATTGCTGTAAAAGAGCATCTTTTTAGATGACTCCCTTGTGTACCTGTAAATTGTTTCTACTGTGGTTACAAGCACTGGTTTTATTGTATACAAAACTCTGTAAGAAGCTTAAACTCAAAGTAGAGTTCAACTTAAGTTTAAACAGTGTAATAAAACTCTCTATGTTGGTTCAGATGCTTTATTCATCACAAGCTTTAAACATTTGACCGTAAACTCTTGGCTATCTTTGTCTTTTTACAGCAAATCTTGACCTACATACCACATGTAATAAGGTCTGATTCGTATGACACTGCTACACAAAAGTCAGTTAAATGAAGATAATATTGTAAAAGTTCCAACTTTATTGGAATATTTAAGGTTATGTATTTCTTCCAGAAAAAAAAGAGACTTTTAATAGTTTTTATAGGTTTTGACAATGATTAATGATCAAAAAGGTCATTTTAGAAACAAATAATAAACAGGGCTTTTCCCTAATTTATTTTAATTCCAAAACACTAGCAGTTTTCTGCTATAGTATTCAGTGTGGTTTTCTAAGTTTACTAGTTACAGTAAACAGATATTCCTACAGATATCAGTAAAATATCTGTAGGGCCGTTTGCAGTAAAATATGACTTTAATATGAAAGATGTCTAAATGGTCAAACTGCACAGCTTCATATTCTGATCCCTCTCTGTCAGAACAGAAGGACCCATGAGTCATTGTCTTAACATTAACAGGAACCTCTTAGCCAAGAAACCCAGCATTTGATGATTCAAGACCTGTTCAGCTTGTGTCAGCAAGTAGAGTGCAGATTGTTGTGGCTAGTGGGAAAATGACGGTTGAAATTATGTAAAACAATTAAAAGACTGTATAGCCTAAAATTTGTCTTTTGACTCTTACTGACCTTTGTGGAGCAAGAAATGGGAGAGACGTTGAATGAGAAAACAACATATCCGACACCCCACATGCAATAGAGCTAACATCACACAGCTGGTCCAGCTCCATACCCTAGTTGCTCTATTTACTCAGGTCATATTTATCCAGTATGTATTTATTTTTGATTATCTGAAACAAGGCTGACAAAAACAGCAAAAACAGAAGAAATCTGTCAGGAGCAAACACTTTTTTCACTGAACATGTTTTCATATCCATTGCAACATAGCATATTCTCGCTTTACTGTATCAGTAAAATATCTGTAGGGCCGCTTGCAGTAAAATATGACTTTAATGTGAAAGATGTCTAAATGGTCAAACTGCACAGCTTCATGTTGTGATCCCTCTCTGTCAGAACAGAAGGGATGACCCATGAGTCATTGTCTTAGCATTAACAGGAAACTGGTGGTTAATCTGAGTTGATCAAATAACAAGGAAATCTAATAGTGGCATATGATTGGAGGGAAAGTCTGTATTCATTCGTATATTTTCATTATGAGGAAACAAACTCCACTAAAGGAATCCAGAAGGTTATTTGCACACATCTTAACAAACTGAATAATGTTAACCAGGACAACTTATGCATTTGCAACAAGTGCAAACAGCAACATGAAAAGTGCAATAAGAATGAAGTAAACTCATAGTTCAAGCTGGCTGTGAATGCAGTTTAGACCAGGTGGTTTTGGTAAAACTAGAACAGGAAGCTGCGCTGCAGAGAAGCAAAGCCACACTGGGTTTCTTTTCCTGAAATGTCAGATAATTCGATTTCTTGAAAGATGGACGTTCGCTTCCACGGAACATAAGCTTCTCTCATGATCATTTCATCATCAAGAAATCTTTTAAAAGAAAATGAAAAAGTTCTGTTTGAGTTCCTATAATAACATAATCGTGGTGCCTAATTTTCTTATTGCTGCTTTATTTGTTGTTCTACGGAGCAGCAGAAAGAGAATCTTGCTCTTTTACAATCAAGCTTTTGAATACTGCAAACTGTGAATGGAAACTGTCCATATTTGGAACAAACATGACTGAAACACAATAGACAATGTTTTCCTACACAGAAAATTTAACTGTTTTGGAGGCTCTGAATGTTTAGATATTTTGCTGTAAATGTGTCAGTGTTCTCCACGGGCTCATTCTGAAAGATGCAACACTAGGAAAGGAATCAGAAAGTTTCAATTTAGGAGAAGAAATCCCCTTTTTTCAGTCAATGTGCAGCATATTGTGGTTAAATTGTCTAAGTACTGAACAGAATATCATTTTGTGTGAGAAGGTAAAGTTTTCTTCATGTTTTGTGACTGAAATAAAAAAAAACAACTGACAGCGATCAGACACTGTCGACATTTTTGGCACGCTTGTCAAAAATCAGGAAATCAGATAGGACTTCCTGTCAACACCCTGACTCTCTCGAGCTGACAAATACATACAGAGAATAAGAAACGCAGAAGTCAAAAAAAGGAAAGCACCAACTTACAGGAACAAACTGATGAACTGAAGAAATAAGGACATCCAAATGTGAAAGGTAACAGCTTGACCAACGACTTTAGGTTTTAATAATGTTTATGTTTGGTGCTTGACGTTGGGACTATCAGGCAATTGTTAGAAATTATGTGCTGGGTAAGGTCGACTGTTCTCAACTAATAAAATTGAAATGTTTCTCTGTTTTGATCTGCTGTAGCTGGGTGCGGGTTCAGTGAATGCTTACCTTTAGACATTTTAATGTTTCAATATTCCCTTTATTTTGATGTGTTTCAGTGTGAATTCAGTGGTAGATGCTATTTCCTGTATCAAATAAGTAATTTAAGAGCCAGTTCTGAAACATGAAACAATGTGACATAAGTTACCAAAGGGGTTCTTTACTTTCCATGCTACATTGCTCCTTATGTAGCAGAACATGGCAATCAGTTTCACAAAAACCCAGTGGGAATCCCCAAAGGTCTTTGGATATGATTAAATGTCTGGTGCGTAACCACCTAAAAGGCAGGGGGACAACAAGCAAAGACCGCTGCCATGTTAGTGTGAAGCTTCGTATTACTTCAGATTCTCAAAGTTACTCTTTTCTGATCACAGGACAACAGAAATATTCAGCTTCAAACAAAGCAACTAAATGGCACAAAATATATGAAAATTATCAACTGGTTAAGCATCTTGAGCAATAAACCAAGCCACAGGAAGCGTGAAAGCTAATAACAGACATAAGCGAGAGACAGAGGTTCAGTAAAATTAGAAAATGCTGCTAATGGTTGTCTTGTTTGGCCCTGAATTAGCACTTCATAAAGAATTAGAAGAATTTGATTTTTTTTTTTTCCTGACGATGTAATGCGAAGAAGAAATCTGCCAAAAAGGCACTGACAATAATCCGTTACCTTTACTCCAAATTAGTTTTTTTTTTCCTTTGGTCTAGACATGAGATCTGAGAACAGTCAGAGGAAGGAGTAGCAGGTGTGTGTCTTCCAAAGCATTATTGTTGGGTTGTATAACGTGCTGCAGCTTTGATGTTTGTAGTATGAGAGATATGCAGCTCCATTATGTGCGATGATTTGTTGATTGCAAAACTACACATTTCCATATGCTTTTAATGTATTCGAATTATTATACTTCTAAAATGTCACTAGTTGTCTGTGTGTCTTAACTGCTTTTTAATTAAAGTTCAGAACTAAGAACATCGGTAATTTCTTAGAGCTGAACATGTAACGCGTACTGAGTTTATTGAGTATTCTTGACATAATCTTGTTTCAACTTTAAGACACAATACAATCAATAAGGTTTGGAAAATACATAACTGAAGCAGAGAAATCCGGTAACACTTTATTTGAACGGGTGTGCATAAGACTGACATGACACTGTCATAAACATGACAACTTCTGTCATGAACATAAAGGAGTCTTTATGAATGTTTATGACAGTTGTCATGAAGCGTCATTCGGTAAATAATGACACTTTTAATGCAAAGCTACTCTAAAAGTTGCATTGAAAGTCCATTAAAATGCCAACTTTGCATTAAATTATCATAATTTACAAAATCATGCAAAGTTGGCATTTTAATGGACTTTCAATGCAACTTTTAGAGCAACTTTGCATTAAAAGTGTCATTATTTACCGAATGACGCTTCATGACAACTGTCATAAACATTCATAAAGACTCCTTTATGTTCATGACAGAAGTTATGTCATGTTTATGACAGTGTCATGTCAGTCTTATGCACACCCCTTCAAATAAAGTGTTACCAGAAATACATTGCCTCTTCAACCTTATTAACAAGACCATTAAACTGAATATGTTTAAAACAGTCCTGGCCATATACTGTAAACAATACTGTCTGATGACACATCTTTTCACAATAACAACTAGACGTTTGGTCGTTTTGAGTAAATGGGACTTTCGAGGATTTTTCAAAGTGTGTCAGGGGACCTATTGATTTAAGTGATTCATTTGACATCAAGACAAGTTATGACAGAGTGTAATGGTATATTTTGTCTCATTTAACCCTGTGTTGATATTAATTGCAAAACAGTTATTGGAAATGCAAACAACGTAAACCCTCAGATGCAGTCAGGTTTTATTTACAATAAGGCATGACTCACATACTGTGCAGACAGACAGATAATTTGGCCTGATTTTCCTTTTTGTCACCTACCTGTCTAGTTTCATCAGCAATTTCAAAGACACAAAGCAGACCATGGAAAGATGTGCCAAAGAGCTTTAAAAGACCGCTCTTTTAAAGCTGTCTTTAAAAATATTGGTCTACAACATTTTGAAAAAAATAAACTTTATTGGAAACAAAGATCATGAAATCTAATGTGATGGTCTCAATGTCTAGCACATTGCCTTGTATATTAAAAGGTGTTTCTTCAGCCACTTAAGTAATTTTTAGTCCAGCTTCTTACATTTAATGAGGACAATGTTATATTCAAGCCTCCGTTTTATTTTTATATAAGTTTATATTTACTTTGTTTATAGAGGTGGATATTCATTTTCACTCACATTTAGAAAAATCACAGTTTTATTCTCCCCTAGAACAGTAACATAAGAGAAGGGGAAACATTTGTCTCAACATTTTTCTAATCATAATTTTTTAGAAGATCAGTGCAAAGAGTAACCCCACAAAGGCCTTATTTCTCATTCTTGAAATTTTAGCACCACTGACCATCAAATTCTTCCTGAAATAATGTTTTTGCTCATTTCTCTGAGGTTTTCTCCCCACTGGAGGGAGTGTGACTTGAAATTGGGTTCTCCTATAATTAAATTGAAGCAAATATCTGAATGCAACTGTCGATTTTGTTCTCAGACATGCCGATGAATTTCAGAGAGGAAGAGTCGACCCCCCTGGTGTTGAGAGACCGGGGGGGCAGCCAGAAGTCCAGTTCGAGCGTGGAAGCCGGCTTACAAGTACACATCTACTTTTTTCCTGGCACAAGGGATGCGACAGTGATACAAATTTCATCCGGACAGATAAGTGCAGAAAATGTTTGCATCCAAGCAGGAAAGAAAAGTGGTAAGAATGAATGGATGAATAAGACTCTGAGCAGGAATTTCTGGTTGGTTTGAGGTGCTGGTTGTCCAAATAAAGTTACGTGTAATATTTTTTTATTATCCAGGAATCTTACCAGTGTACCTGAGCCTTTTCGGTTTAGCCTCTGCAGATCTGTCATTTTGGTATCCGCCATCACACATGTTTGACTCAGACGAAAACTTGGTCGTTCATTTTAGAGTGAGGTAAGTTCAGTATTCAAAATTCAGTTTTAAAAAGCCATATGAATACTTTCAGAACTATTTCATGTAATCTTTATTGTTATTATTACTAAATCAGATACAAGGAAGACACAATTACTAATAAATGCAAACCTTTCAAGTGAAAATCTTACAAATGTGGAGTGTTTTGTTGCTTGTTTTATTGCATAAATGTCCAAATGATTTACGATTTACATTCAAAGTTAACAGCAGCTGTTTTATCTATTATTATACCTCTAAATATATGTCAGAACGGCATGTAGAGAAAGTTTCTCAAAGCTACATAAATTAGTAGTACAGAGTAAGTGCAGCTCACCAACAACAATATGGGCATCTGCAGTAATGAAGGAGAAAAAGTTAACTCTCCATGAAAATATATCTTATCAAATCACTTAACCTTTTAGGAACTGCACTTTGCACCATTTTGTGTAAGCTTTGGGCTTCGAACAACATTTGAAGTCTTCACTAAATACAAGATTGAGTTGATTTGAAATATTTTTCCAACAAGCTTTGCAACAAGGTTCTGGATTACTAAAAAATTCTTTATATATGTTTGAGCTGCATAAAATCCATACTAATTAATGTGTAGTTCACATTAATTTCTGTACTTGGAAAGGGAACAACTAAAGGAAAGACATGTAATTACTTGGCTTACATTTCAAAAGTAAGGTTTGCTTTGACTCAGAAATAATAATGGATCTTTCATGTCTCCAGGTTTTTCTTTGGGAACTGGTTCGGCGAAGGACCAAGAACTTCATATCGCTACAGTCTGACAAAGGACAGAATCAGTCTGGTGCTTGACTACAATGTCATAGATTACCTTTTTGCTCAGGTAAAGTACATGAACATCATGCTCATTAATATTAAAGGCAATAACTTACTTCACTATATTTTATATCAGTGTATTAATGATGTAATACTTGACTTGAACACAATATCTTCCTAATTTAAAAACATTCTTAGACATTTTACTGTCTCATGTAAGGTTTTTTAAAGGGCACTGATGCTAATTCAGTGTATGTAAAGTCAGAAGTTAACACCCATAATTTCACACATCCTCAGTTAAAATGAGTAGACTGAAACAAAAAGTGTGTTTAGAGCAGCTTTTCAATTTGTACCGACATTGATAAAAAAATTTGCAAAATTAACATAGGGTAGGGTTATGGTTATGGTTAGGTTGAGCAGAACCTATTTTGTAGATTTTTGCCTTTTTTAGTGTAAAAATGTAGTTAGAAAAAACAAAAGGCTGAATATTGCCTGTTTCTCAGAAAGTAAGGCAGGTATGTCACATTAAAGAGTGTCCCCGGCTTTTTTTTTTTATTTTTATTTTTTTATTGGTGTTTAGTTGAGAAGTGACTTCATTGCGAGTGAAGCAGGAATCGTTCCACCTTTGAGCGCCCAGGAGGAATGCCTCGGCCTTGCTGTGCTGGACTTGTGGAGAATGGCTAAAGAGCGACGCCAAACTATAAGAGAGCTCTGCAAAACTGTCAGGTGTTTACAGCTGAATAAAGCTTTATTTTGTTTTTCAAAATAGATGACAACAAATCAGTTTTTCAGTTTAAAGTTTTTGATGTGGTTGTTTTTGATATATGTATGCAGCTAGCAAAAGAGCACATAATAATACATAATGTGTTCTTTTACAATATTTGAACCACTGTAGCGTTTCTAGTCAAAATATGCTGTGTTTGTTAAAGTCTCTTGCTTTACCTGGACTGCTCTTCCTCAGCTATAAATCCTGCCTCCCCAAGTCACATCGGCATGAAATCCAGAAACGAAACCGCCTGGACCGCTTTCGAATCAGGAACACTCTTAAGCGTTTCTTGAAAAAACTTGGCAAATGCTCAGTGGACGAGTACAGCCTGAAGCTCAAATACCTGATTGAACTGGCTGGCATCGAGCCGTCTCTCGGGAGTGAGACCTTCCGTGTCAATCGTTCTTCCTCCCACGCGGAAGCAACTTTCACCCTTCTGCGGGTCTGTGGGGAGACAGGAATTCAAACTGGTCAACTTGATGGTGCCGTGGTAAGAGCAAAGTGTTTGTGGGTTCAATATTTAGATCAGTAAATTATAACTTCAGTTAATTGGTCTTATTTCTCAGTGCATGAAAACTATATTTTTAAACATCGGTGCAGTGCCAGTGTCAAATAGGACCTTTGGGTTTAATGAGATTTCAGAATTACAGGTGACGATATTTAGGTTTCAAGGGGTTCCTCAGTTTCGAGAATTTTGCATTTCACACTTGAATGTCCAAACAAAGTCTATGAGTTTCAATTAGTCATGCAGTTCAAAACATTAGCAAGAAAGGAGTCAACCCTATAGCATAGACTACATTGATTAGGATATGTTGATATTCAAGCAGTTTGAATGGACTACTAATCACTCCTTTAAAAAGTTCTTGAGGATTTCAACCAAACTGTAATCAGTCAATCAAAACACTGTAACCTCATCAGTGTATTCCAGAATGAGGACATCTATATTAAGTATACAAGAGAGCCCAGAGGACAAAACCTGGAGGTGTCCCAAAGTAGGTTAGCACAAAGACTTTTAGCCAAATCTTGCAAAAGTTTCCAATTGCAAGATTGGAAACAGTAGGGCATCAGTTTAAGTATGGGGTCAAACACTTGTAGACATCTTCAGATAGCTGGTTGCCCTTATGTTCCAGGGTTTAATCTTTCCATCTTTTTGGTCAAGTGTTACTTTGTTAACCTTAGTAGAAAAGGAGTTTTTGCTATAAAATAAGTCCATCTGCTGTTTTTTTTTTTTTTTTTAGGAATGGCAGACCTTCTGTGATTTCCATGAAATTGTAGACATCAGCATTAAGAGGATCTTGAACGAGATGGTCCCACAAGACAGCAGGATGGTAACGATAACTCGGAAGGATGACAGATGCTTGGTACATACTTCTTTACAAAAACTTTTCTTAATTTGTATTTTATATTAAAGTTTTGCTTTTGTATTCTTATACTGTTTGGTTTGCTCATTTGCCATTATAGGAAGCTAGTTTCCAGAGTCGCAAAGAGGCACTTTCGTTTATGTCGCTGATCGATGGCTATTTCAGACTGATCACGGACTCAAGCCATTTCTTCTGTCAAGACATTGCTCCACCAAGCCTTCTAGAGGGACTCAAAAACTACTGTCATGGCCCTATCACGTGGGTCTTTTTGAACAGACGTTTAATTTGACTATTATTTTGACGTGAACATGTTTAAGATGTCTCTTTTACATTTTGTGGAATCAGATCAGAGTTTGCAGTCAACAAGCTGAAAAGGTCAGGATGCACAGGCGGTACCTTCCTTATCCGGCAGAGTCCAAAGAACTACGAGAACTTCTTCCTCACTGTTTGTGTTCAGGTAAAGACAGCAGGAGATACGAATTAGACACTCATTCGTTTTCAAATGGCTTATATGCAGCTCTTCTGTGTATTTCAATAACCTGACATCAAAAAAAAGAAAGTCTTTGAATGTACATATAGTTGAAAGAGCCTTTAAAAAGTATTATAGGAGTCACAATCAATTTTGTGATTTAGGATAACTGGCCATTCTATACTGATGATGTCCCTGTTTTTTTTAATGCTACTTCTTTATCTATAACCTATTGCAAATGAAATCTATTTGTTCTTTTTTTGCAGACCCCTCTTGGCCTTGATTACAAGGACTGTCTCATTATTAAAAATGAGAGCTACAGTCTTCCTGGTCTCACAAAATCATTTTCCAGCTTGACAGAACTCACCAACTATTACCAACACAACAAGCTGCTGTTGGCCGAAATACCCGTCAAGTTAACTCGCTGCTGTCCACCTCGGCCCAAAGGTACAAAGTTATGTGAGTTCAGGGACACTTAGGTAAATGTAAAGCTTGAAAGACAAAAGCAGTGCTGCTTCATTAAATGGTTCAATTGAAATGTCTGCAGCTATTTGACACAATAGGCTATTTCTTTTTAAATTAGTTGAATAAATTTCACACTATCCTTTTTATCATACAACTCAAGATAGTTTTGTAATAATGATTAGATCTAAACTTACAGCCAATGTTCTCATACCTTTATATGTGTTCAAGTGGAAGTGAACATATATATTTCTGTCTCTGCAGAACTCACAAATCTCATAATTGTACGAAACAGCAGCTTGTTTGAAGCTCAAGGATCTCCAGCACCTGAAAGAAACAAGTTCAGTCACATTCAGATCCACATGATCAAATTTGGAGACCTGAACTGGGTAAGTATTCAGATGTGGGACCAAAGCTAACATAGAACAACCTTTATCTTTGGGCTGTATGATTTTTATTTTTGTTCTCACTTAAATCTCTCACAACAATGAATGCAATGTCTTTGGTATTTCGTGTCAGGGTGACAGCCTTGGACAGGGGACCTTCACCCGAATCTTTAAAGGCTACAAAACTGACTTCCGTGATGGAGAAAAACACATGACTGAAGTCATCCTAAAGGAGCTTGACTCTGCTTACAAGAACTGCTGGGAGGTGGGTTTTTGTGGCGCAAAGCATTATGTGTGAGTTATTAAAGATTCAGCAAATTCAAGTTCCCTATAAATATAAAAAATGTCTTTCCCCCTAAGTCACTCTTCGAAGCTGCCAGTTTGATGAGCCAGATTTCTCATAAACACCTCCTCCATGTATATGGAGTCAGTGTACACGGATCACAAAGTAAGTATAAACCAACTAGACTTTCTTATTGTTTTATAATATTACAATATTAAAATGAAGTGTTTTAACTGATCCAAAACAGCATGTGAGACAAAAGCGGCATCAAATTTTAATGACAAAAGGTTAATTTCCTGAAATTTAATTGATGTTTTTGGTAAAATCCACTGCATTTGCCACAATATGATCCATGTAGAGTGATAATTTAGTCTCCCTCAGTCCTTATGTGACCCTGCTCAGTTATTGTGCACGTGAGTGAGCATTTCAGAATTTGTATTTGAAGCCCAGCTGTAGAAACAGGTCTTGCTGTGCCGTTACAGACATCATGGTTCAGGAGTTTGTCAAGTATGGAGCCCTTGACCTGTACTTGAAAAGAGGAACATCTGTCTCAGTGAGCTGGAAACTCAGCATAGCCAAACAGCTTGCATGCGCACTCAACTTCCTGGTAAGAAAGACATTTAACAAGGAGGAAAACAGAGTCTGCAGAAAGTTGGTTACATTTGTTTATGTTGAAAGCTTTATAGGTTTTTTTTTAATAGCTCATAAAACACAATAAAACTAGAATAAAACTTTATATTTGTCCTTAAGATAAAATTACAATTCCATTACAGGAAGAGCAAAACATTGTTCATGGAAATATCTGCGCTAAAAACCTGCTGCTGGCAAGAGAAGGTGACCCCTCGCTGGGCAGCTCTCCCTTCATCAAGCTGAGTGACCCGGGCATCAGTGTGGTCATGATGGGAAATGATGGTAACACTAAAAAAATAAATAAATAAAATAAAAAATAAAAATGTTACATGTAGAGTAACATTTTTTAATGTTACTCTACATGTACTCTACTTTTATATTTATTTATATATATATTTTTTTCCACATCATGTCTTAAACACATAAAAAAGATCAGAGTTAATTAATGAAATTTCTTTTTTCAGTTATTCTGGACAGGATTCCCTGGGTGGCTCCTGAGGTGCTTGATGCCCCAGATAACCTGACGCTCGAGTGCGATAAGTGGAGCTTTGGTGCCACTGTGTGGGAAATTTTCAACGACGGAAACTCCCCATTGAGAGGCTGGAACTTAGATCAGGTATAGTCAGTCATTCATGTAACGCAGAGGCTGTGCGGCGTTACAAGTCACTACTTAGTCTTATTCAGTTGAGGCTGAGTGGGACCACTTTTTAAAGTTCCCTAGGTCATCAGATTTGCTTTATTAAAAATGTAAGTTTCGATCAGTGGGCAGCCCTGGGTTATGTGCCTTGCACATTGACATAGTCAGACCAGCAACTTTCCAATTGCCAAGCACTTATAAAATTGTTTGTGTTTTTGCTGCAGAAGAGGAATTTTTACGAGAACATGCATCAGCTGCCTCCTTCCCAGTGGACAGAGTTAGCAGATCTGATCGCTCAGTGCATGGACTATGACGCCGCCTTCAGACCATCGTGTCGCAGTATCATCCGTCAGCTCAACAGTCTCATCACATCAGGTAGTAACCTACACTCAGGTAAAACACTTCTGCTAACCAGCGCCACCTGTGGGAAGCAGTGTTAGTCACAATCAGGCCAGCTGACAGCTCTGCCTTGGCCCAGCCATGATACTCATACCCACAACATTCTGTAATTAGTATATTATTAATTAATATTTACCATTTAAAGGCCTAATTAATCTTGTCTAGCTGTAGTCTGTAAGCTGTAGCTGCAACTTGCTCCTCAGGTAACTAGTACTGTTTCTTTTATCAATGATGGAGGCTGGCTGACTCAAAGCGGAGGGACAGATTGAAGATGAATACTTTCCTCTCTGTCTGTAGCATTTTAAACTTCACTAGACGCTTAAGAACTCCAAGCTGGAACTTGTGCAGGCGACCAAACCAAATATTAGCCTTATATTTTTCTCCACCATGAAGGAAAAATATACTCTATTCTATCAAACCATAATTTGATAGTTAGCGGGTACGGTTCTAGGTCTCCTCTGCCTTGGCCCGGGAAAACTGACTTGGTTATCCACACCTGTTGGTGGCCATGGTCTCAATTATTCTACTCATCTCTTTTTTTATAGCTTTTTTGTGGAATAAACATTTATCTGTGTAAGATTTTAATTAGATTTACTTTACTGTTTTAAATGTCTTTATACTGCGTATAAATGCTTCTGTACTATATAGTATTTTCTATATTTGCGAGACACTGAATCTAATGCAGCTGCTTTGTGTATTTATCTCTTTTGTGACAGATTATGTCATACTTCACGCTACTGAACCGGTAACACAGAGCCCCATGTCCAAAGCGCTCAACCTTGTTCCGCATGATCAAACACTGTTTGAGGAAAGACACTTATGCTACATCTCCCCACTGGGAAAAGTAAGTTTGAAACAACAAATTATCTACTAAATCTTGCGTCGTACTTGACTTTTGCAGAATGGTGATTCCCAGAATCATCTGGTTATATCTGCAGGGAAACTTTGGGTGCGTTGAGCTTTGTCGCTACGACCCTTTGGGTGATAACACTGGCGAGCTCGTGGCTGTGAAGAAGCTGCAGCCTAACAAAGGCTCCAATCTAGAGGATTTCCAGAAGGAGGTTAAAATGCTCAGTGTTTTGCATTGTGACTACATCGTCAAGTACAGAGGGGTCTGCTACAGCATGGGTAAAAAAAATGACACACACTTAACAGAAAAAGCCTTAAAATAATCGTTAAAAGAGATTATTTTGTTGCTGAATAATCAAATAGTATGTTCTCTATTAGATTATGTGTAATTATCATTTATGCTTTAATTAATATTATCTCAAGAAAACATGCTTTTAGAGACTTTGAAACTTACCATTGTATTTATGCACATATGACATTATGCACTGGGCTAACCTGGTTTATTGAATTGCTTGATTGTTCACAGGTCGCCTTAGCATGAGCTTAGTGATGGAGTATCTGCCTTATGGCAGCCTTACTGGCTATGTGTGGACTAACCGTCACAACATCACCACCAGGCGGATGCTGCTTTTCTCTTCTCAGATTTGTAAGGTAAAGGTCACAGACATCAGCCTTTTCCAAATACATGGAAATGGATCAAATCTTTACTATCACAAAGTATGGCTCATGGTGGTTGAAGTATGTGTTAAATATAGCGATGGAATTTGAATTTTTATGTCCATTGCATATATAACATGCAAATCAACAATGTCTAACAGCAGCATCACATGCAAATTCTGACTGTGCCAGCTGATATGTTGGTCAGCTTGTTCTCTCAAATCAGTGCTGCTTCAGTTTAGATCTTCACATAAAGAAGGAAAAACGTGACATTTTTTCAGTTTTAAATTTAGCAAACATACTGAGGAAACACTTCTGTTTCCTTCAAACCTGTAACGCAGCAAATCCCTAGGAAAACAACGTTGATAGGCCTTTTTGACTAGTCGTCCAACCAAACATGCAATAACAAAAAAAGTCTCTGAGGTAAAAATCCTCCCTGACTGAAAATGTCTCATTAATTGCAGGTTTGACAATTTCTTTTCTGCCTCACATTCTTTTTTGTGCTCACCTGTTTTAACTTTTGCAGGGCATGGAATACTTGCAGACACAGCGTTACGTCCACAGAGACCTCGCAGCAAGAAATATCCTTGTTGCCAATGAGTCGCTGGTGAAAATTGCTGATTTTGGCCTGACGAAGGTTCTTCCCTTTGATAAGGAGTACTATCGCCTCTCTCAGCCTGGACAGAGCCCCCTCTTCTGGTATGACCTCTCCTGTTTGAAATATGAATGAGAGAACAAAGTACAACGACTAGCAGTTTTAAACAAAAAGAAAACTTGAAACATCACTTATAATATGTAAAGCACCAACCATCTAGATCAATATGTGAAAACATTTCCCTCCTTCTGTTTTACTGCCTGATGTGATCTTGGCTTATAGGTCACATTTAAATCTCAAATTTAAGATCAAGTTAGAAAAAAAGAGTGGATTTTGCTGGTACCTGCTCCCCTTCAAGGGCATGTATACTTTATAGCTGACACCACATTCAGCACAATCGAAGAGGATTAGGATCTCCATACAGAGCTGACATGATTATTGCAAAAGTTTCAAACAAATGTCTTGTAACCAAAATTCTTGACCTGAAATGTAAAATAAAAGTGTGTCTTAAGCTTTTGATAAAGTCTTGTTGCTGCGTGTTTCGCAGGTTAGCTCCGGAGTGCCTTAATGAAAATAAATTCTCCCACAAATCAGATGTCTGGAGTTTCGGGATCGTTCTCCATGAGCTCTTCTCTTACTGTGACAATAGCATCAATCCCAAAAGAGTAAGAAAGTGGGACATTGTTGCATTCAGGAATGCAGGGTGTCTAATGTTTATTTTAAATTACAATAATATGTTTTTCTGCTCAGCTTTGTTTGCAGGAGATCGGACAAAATGTCCAAGGTACATCTCTTTCCATGCATCTGGCAAACATGCTGGCGAGCAACTGGAGGTTGCCAGCTCCTCCAAACTGCCCTCTGCAGGTATGTTTGCTCTGTCTTAGTATTGGGCACCACCTGAATAAAAAAAACATCTCTACAAATATAATTTGCTACATCCAATCATTTTCCCACATTCATTCCAGGTCTACAGTTTGATGAAGGACTGCTGGACGTACGACTTTGACAAGCGTCCGTCTTTCTCTGACCTGTCAAAAAAGGTTGAAAATATGATCCAGGACGACAGATAAAGCACAAAAGGCTGAGAAAGAGGCCTTGCTGAACCACACAGACATTGTTTAACAGCAGCAGTATTGAATTATAAAGTTTATTTATTGTCTTCCTCAGCAGTATTTCTTTTATTTTTGTTCTTTCCTTTATTTGGAAGCCTGTGGATACTTCGTAATGAGTAATGGGATCATATACATTGGTTTCAGCGAAAGCAGCAAAAGTTAATGTACAGCTTTGTAATGCTCCTTATCACATCATATTGCTGTGATTTTTTTAAATTTATTTTTTATTTTTTTACATGCAAAGCTGTAGGAATCATAAACAGAACATTTTGCATATAACATAAGACTGAACAAAAACTTTCATTGCACAGATATGGGTTTAATTTCAATATAAGTGCTTCGTTAAATAATTATTTATAATCTCTGCAGATATACCATTTGACAAGTACTGACAGTTTGGCTTAAAATATATCAGTGTGTAGAGTTTCTCATAAAAGTTTATAGGGTAAATTTGTTAAAGATCGTTTCATGTGTTTCAGAGATTTGATTGCAGGTGAAATAGTTTTCAGGTTTCATTTTATTAATATTATTGCTTCATATAAATATATAACTTAGTACAACAAGGATTTTCATTTATGCTGTTTGTTGCCTTGTGCTTGAACCGATTCTCTCAGTAAATATTCATTTTGTCCCATTGATTCTTTATTTCTTTTATAAAAACAAATTTAAATAAACCTTCTCCTGATGTACATTTGGTCTTGAAATTTAATTAAAGATAAGTTTGTTGCAAACTTTTGCCTGTGTCTGTTTGCTGGTGATATATGATTTTACTCCACTTGCCTCCACTGTCACAAACTTCATCTGCTAAGTACAACGGTGTTTCTGCAGGGTACTTCTTCTACTGGGTTGAACAGGCAGCCTGTTAAGTTTTAGCATTGCTGCTGCCACCTAGTGACTTACCTATGCCTGTGCATCACTGTTTGAAAAAATAGTTTTAGATAACATAATTAAATAAAACAAAACAATTAATTGAATTTTAGATAACTTGCTGTCAATCATGTGGAAATTTGCTATAACATAAAATTGTCATTATATTGTCAATATGATGAACTCAGCTTTCAAATACTGGGACATTAGTTTTTTTCTAGTGCAGTGGAGCTTATTTAATTAAAAAAAAAAGGCTTTGTTTCTTATCCTTCTAATCTTTAGCCCCCGAGATATGACATTTAATTTTCTTCTAAATTACTTGCTTTTGGAAAAACATATTGTTTCTGCTCGTGTTTTAATTTCTCACCCTTACATTTCACCTCTAAGTTTGAGCCTTAACCACTTAATCTATTCAAATTAAGTTCCTGAAATAAGGTACTGCATTATCTTTTTTTAAAAAGGACTTACCTTTAGCTCCCACTATCTTCTTATGGCTAAAAGTGGTTCCTTCTTTATCGCTTCTTACTGTCAAATAGCTTTGCATTTTCTGCCTTGAAACCACCATCTAACAAAAGCCACTTACACCCTTCGGTAATCTTCTTATACTTCAGACTACGGTTATATCATAATCGCCAATATGTTCCACAACAGCTTTATGCAACCAAATACCAGTTAAAGCTTATGAGTCAAAGTTCAAAACAAAACTTTTTGTGAAGAAAAGAGGAGGTACAACATCCTCTTAACTCTTGTACCCTTCCTGATGGTCACAAAGAAAGGGAAAATTGTGAAAACCTAAGGAATGAGACCTAATTTAGAAGTATTTCTTAAACACACACATGAACACAAGAGGAACTTCTAAGTCAAATTTGCTTAATCCATCTGAAAACTCTGCCTTAAGCTTAACTACATCACCAGTTGTAATTTGGGGCTTCCCTCCAACGTTCTGGGAGTCAAAGGTTTGGCTGACAGTACAGTAATCTGTCTCTTTGTACCACTATTTTCATGATAATGTACTTTACTTCTCCTTATGAATTAGGAATTAGGTCTCCTCCCCATAGAAACTCCCTGAACTTGCAGGTGCAGCCGGTTTCAGTGACGTCTTGTTTTGCCAATAAAGAGAATTTCTTTGCCAATAAAGAGAATTTCTTTCAACAACCCCTCACAAAAACAACTGTGACATCAGCCATTAGGAGTTTCAAAATAGTTGTTTACATTGATTTCATTCCTCAGTCCAGTCAGCTACAGCATGCTTTTTATTCTTCCAAAAGGATTTTGAACCATAAGAAGGAAATGTTTGTGCTTTTCCAAGCTTGGTTAAACATGATTCCTATGTTTATTTGAAACCTAATTTAAACTTAAAACACTTGTCTTTAAAGCCTTAAATCTCATTACCAAGTTATTTCCGAAATAAAAATTTGTAAAGCAGCTTCTAGATAAGAGATGTTTCAACATTCAAACCAAAGATTATATCTTCCAAATTACTCTTCCAAATCCACTTGGGTTGAGAAACACATTTATTTTTGTACAACACTGAATTAACTGATAGTTTTATAAAATATAAAATAAAAATGTAGGTATTGCAGTAATGAAAAACGACCTGGTTGTAACTTCTACATGTAACATCTCCTCATGAACAAGTAAATTATATGTGAAGCAACAAAGTAGCTCCCTAGTCACAAGTTAACATATAGGAGCTGGTCTCATGAGAGGCATATTCTGATAAATTAGAAAAACTGATCAATATCACCCTGTTTTCCAATAAGTTAATAAATCAGAGCTTTACTAGTTATTTTTTATGGGTTTTGAATTCGATCTACAGAAATGCTGCAACAAGCTAAGCATCTTTTCACCTGTAAAGTGTCAACACCAAATAGCAAAAACGAGTTCTATAAACGCTCAACTCTATCTCCAACTGACCTGTTCTGAACCGGTTCTGTCAAAGCCCACTAATCCTTAAAACAATTAATATTCTGACTGCAAAGCAAGTGCACTTTACCTTGGCTCTTCCACCAAGTTTCTGCTACATTTTATGACCAGTTTTGGCATTAAAATATTTCTGGGTGCCTCATTTGTAAAATCTTTGTAAAATCTCCTCCGACTGGTGAGCGCTTCAAGGCCCAACATGTAAAACATAGTTGAAGATGATGAAATTTCCTACTTCACTACCTCCCTATAATAACAACAAACCCTACACAACAGCAAGTTAACCTATAGATTAGAGGCACTTTACCCTCAGCATGGCTTCTTTTCCTTGTACTTCACATGTAATTATGAAGTAACACCCTTCAACAAACCACTTGTGGATTAGCTACACTGCCCGTTTGTGCAAACTTATTCTCATTTATTCTCATTTATATGCATGTTTACAAAAGCTTGTACCAGTTTCACATTATGACTGACGGTAAAATCAGCCATATTTTCAGGTTTGAACATGACAATGAAATAGAAAAGAAAAAAACATGTAAATATTTAGACAAGTCATGTCTAGCATTCCCTTTCCTGGTCTTCTGTCTTCTTTCTTCAGCTTGAGTCATTAAAACAGACATTTACTTTCTTATAAACCTGTAAGCACACACAGTCATATACAATAAATTAAAATTTGAGTTCAATAAATTCTCCTCTGAATGATTCAAATAACCTTTTTAAAATAACCTTCAAGCTTATGAAAAGAGCCCAAATGCTTAAAAGAAAAACATATCCAGCTTTTTTTTTTCTTTTTTTTTTGGCATCGTTAAGCTACGGTCCATGTATCCAACAGACTGGAATCCTTATTTGTCTTTCTTTCAGGGTTTACATTTCAAATGTGGATTATGAACTTCTTTCCACATCAGATACATATCAGCTGGTAGAAATCTGTGTACCAATAGAAGATCTCTCAAATAGCAAGGTTCAAGATTGTCTGCTCCTTTAGATGGTATATTCAGCCCTAATGTTTTCACACCGATGTGAGAAGAAGGTGAAAGTCCTGCTTTGGACAGACAAATCCCCATGTAAGCATCATCGATGGGGTGGATGGGTATGGACTGCGACATCCTGTATATCACCAAAGCCGTGTAGCCGGACAGAAGGTATCCCCCTCCTCCACAGTAAGGTAGGTATGTGTTTGACTCCTGTATCTGGACTGGGATGAAATATTTGCTTCCCTTCCACCTGACGACCTTTTCGTCCAGAAACAAGTAGCCAGTGAAAAGGTGCTTGCTTCCATCATTGTCAGGGAGGTTTTGGAGATATTTCATCATGTTGTCAGTGTGGGCAAACACATCGTCGTCGCCGTTAAACAGGAAGCGAGCATTTGGACAGTTTCTCTCCATCCACCCATAGAAGAGCATCTGTTTCAGTGTGAGGTTGTGAAACGTGTCATTAAAATCCCACTGGAGGATGTCATTGAAGCCCTCTTGTTCCGCTTTCAGTAATTTGTTTAGCTTTTTCTTCTCGTAACCAGAATCCGATGTTCCTAAGATGAATATCCGTCGAATCCACGCACCGTTGTGGAGCCTCTCTTTGGCCCAGGTTTTACGTAGCACTTCCCGACGGTCGTAATTCAAAGGAGAGCTTTTGATGACAAGCAGAAGGAAGACCTCTTTGGAACACTTGCCTGGCAGGTCTAGCAGCAGGGGAAACGTACGGCAATGGCGGTAGTACAAGAAATTTTTGATGGTATCAGGAAGAGAGCTGAAGTCTTTCATGTCAGCTACCGACATGTTTGCTTCACATTTTGGAACTAAAAATTCATGTGTGTGTAATTTGATGACAGTTTCTGATTGAATGTCATTATTAAAGACATCTGTCAGTGGGCGGCTGGAGAAATTGTAGTTTGTAAGGTCAGCACTGTTCTGACAGAAGTAAATGACCAAAAAAGTAGCTCCCAGCACAAAGACAGCTGCAATGTTGCCTCTTCTAAAAATCCTATAAGAAAAAAGCAAAAGAAAATAACACAAAATATGTTAACTGTTTACAAAACTGGCAACCGCATGAATTGCTTTCTGAATGAAACTATACACCTCATATCATCCATGTGAAAAAAAAATAAAATCCAGTTTGTTAATGTGCTAACACTCTGTTATATTCTTAAAATTAGATGGCAGACAGTTTTCTTTAATTAAATGAAGACAAAACTGAAATTGTTATCTCTGCAGCAAAAAAAAAAAAAAAAAAAAAAAAAAAGGAGACAGAACCTTTTGTGAGATAGTCCCTCTTCCTCTTCCTTTGAAACTGAGATCGGTGGACTTAAAAGCCAGTTAAAATCATATCTTTATGAAATCTGCTTTTATTTATTTTACTTATCGTTTTCTTGTCATGAATTGTTGGATTTTGAAGACCTTTTGTGATTTTATGTCTCGACAAATACTCTATAAATAAAGTTTTACTTACTTTCATAGTTATTCTTAAAGTCGGAGATTAAATATATCTCAAACAGAAGGAAATACAATAGATTCCTATGCAATCCAGTCGGATTTTCAGAATCTGTAGGACAGATTTTTGTATTGGTTATTAGCTTGATTTCAAGCTTTGAACAACAAGGGGGAGCAGTTATAGACGTCATTATATAGCGGAAGAGCACTTGAAGATTTACAATAGAGTCTGAAGAAAATCACAAAACATTTTCCAGAAATAAGTCTTACCTCATAACGGCAATAAAAAGATTTGATGAGGCCCCCTGGCTTACACGAGAAGCTTACAGGGTTTTGTGGGGCAGTCGTAGTGTTTTCAGTTCGGGATGCTGTCACAGAAAATGGTGTGGATTTTTTTTACCCTGAGTTTAGCCTGTCAGGCTGCCGCCTATTCATTGGGCATGCGCAGAATGGAATTTCAAGGATGGAGGCATACCTACTGGAAGAATAAGGATATACTCTACATAAGCTACGGAGCCGGCCTGGCTCCTCATTTGGTCCGGCCCCCTGAACAATACCAGAGAGCATTCAGTGTTTTTTTTTTCATATATATGTGGATTCTTCTTCAACCACCAAGGGGGCTCTAGAGCAGATATGCAACAAAGTCTCCCTCAATAGAATATATACTAGTCAGTACCAGTCACCGTTTCGCTCACGTTTTTTTTCCCATTTGCATTCTGGGTAAAAATCTATCTACAAACGTGAATATGTCGTTGGCAGTAATCCACCGTCAACAAAACTTTTCTAAGGTTTCTTTCTCGAAAAACTAACACCGGCCCCTGACCAAAAAAGGGAACAGTCATGTGGCCCTCGCAGGAAAAAGTTTGGGGACCCCTGCTCTACATCTATACTCACGGTCCAGGCAACATTAATTTACCATTTCATTCTAAATTATGATGCGCTAGTACAGATTTTTTTTTTATTTTTTATATTTTGAAGTAAAAGATAGTAAAAAGGTATTTGCAGTTTCCACTAATAGAAAATTTCTCCATGTGCACTGGTTTCCTCCCCAGTCAAAACATAAACATTTGGTTATAATGTAGTTTAAATTCAGATTAGGTGGGACTGTTCCATGTTTGCTTCTGTTGTGTTGGTCAAATGGACACACCTTTCCAGGTACCTTCAAGGAATTTTACATTCCTTTGTCACAATTAATAGCCTCCAGTTTTGAAATAACGTGTAGTCATAGCAGGTTGTGTAAGCACTGAACAAAAGAAAAGAACTACCATTAAAAAAACACAACATTTTTCTGGAGAGAGAAAAAGATAAAACACAGAAAATGAAAACGATTTTTAAAAAAAGTTTAGTTATTGTAGTATTATTAATCTTATACATATAACATTAAAAATGTAACTATAAGATACAGGCACAAAGAGCTATTATAAAAAATATGACAGCTGAGGGGGTGACAAAATACACAAATATATTGGTAAAAAAATTGAGAAGTATCCATCTATTTATTCATAAAACCGAGCGAGAACAAAGGAAAACAATACTAATTTCAGAAAGTAATGAATCAAACTTAATCAAAACATGCCATCTGACTTCTGAGAAAAAACTGCAAATTCACCTAAGGGTTCTGACGATTTTCTCAGCCTGTTTAGATGGAACGAGGCTGAACAAGGTAAGATCAAAGTTTATTTTTGTAGTAGAATAAGCCAACCAAATTACAATGCAAACAACACAGACCAACACTGTCCAACTAGAGCAGCACTAACCATGAATCAGATGGTGAAGTAGTTTATTCATCAAAATGGGAAGCAATACATGCAAATGTCAGAGGGTTTTTGCATCCTCTCTCTCCGTCACTCTCTCCACCTATTTGCCAGTTCAGTCAATATGAATTGGAAATTTTGCATCTCAAACATTTGACCAATATTTGGTCTGTCTAAGAAAGTGTTGTAAGAAAATGACAGTACACCATGGCTGGCTAATGATCTCATCCAAGTTTATAAATCAACTAAAAAGGTCATTTCAGTTTTTAGTTACTTTCCCCCAAGGTTTTATGATTTTATGTTAATTTTTTTTTTTTCATTACAGAATAAAGTTGAAATTTGATTTTGGAAGAATTGTATGAAAAACTTTAAATATTGAGATATTTTGTTTAATAATTAAAGAATAAAGTGAAAATAATGTCTTAATGAAAATGGCAGATTCTGAAAATGCTGTGTTCTTCCTGAGCAGGTTTGGGATAGCTGGATGTTGATATGCTGCAAGAGAAATATTGCCTTGTTGTCTAATCCTGTTCTGAAGTATTAGCTCACTTACACAACGCATGATGTCATGTCTTTGCACCAGTGTCATTTTGACTTCACTGTATGTAATATTTTTTCAGTTTTTCCCACATTATCTCAGTTTGCCTTTTCTGCTTTCATTTTAACCTTCTCATCATTTCAGTTGTTATCTTAAAATGTCCAAGTCCAAGAAAATATTTCTCTGACCCCAATTTTTCCTCATAATTAACAGACGGTTAACAAACCTGCTTTTATTTGGCATA